CCCAAGGTCGACCCCTGCGTGCGTTAAGAAAAAAAACCTTCCGATCCGTCGTGGGCGGCCTGTGCCCTGCGCGGGTCATAGCAGACCATGCACATCCCAATTCTTGGCGCACCTACCGTCAGGTCGGGCGTGTCCCCCTACTAGCGGATTGTGGACGAGACATCAGGTATACCCCCAAGATGCCCAAACATAGGCAAAATAAGGGTCAGAAAATCGTCCCAGACCATGTTGTAAAACTCTTCCTTGAACTTTCCTCCTGTAGAAGGACACGCCCGACGTAAACCTAGCGGTCTCAGAGATCCAGGGTACGGATCACCTGCAGTGATGAGAAGGGGACGTTCGGAGGGTCTGGCTCAGGGTGGGGGGGAACATCGAGCTGGAATCGGTGATACATCGCCGATACATCGGAGATGGGCCCCCGCAGATAGCGAATTCGAACGTTCCTGGACGGGATGGGCTATCGGGCCCCCTGTCGGCGATGAATGGGCGATTGGGGGTCTATGCATCCCGCCTGAGCCTATCCACCCCTAACGTTGCCCCTGAAGTGACCCTCCTCACTGGCGCTGGCCTTTGGACAGCGTCCTGAGCAAGCGCAGATTCGCGCAAGGGCTGCAGGTGCCGCGCAGTCCCGCAAGCACGCCCCCCAAGCAGAACCCTCCGCGCCGGGCCTGGGCCGTCCAGACCGACGGTCGCCTCCGCGCTGGGGCGTGGCTGCTGCTGGACGAGCCGGAGCTGAGGGAGCAGATCTCGGCACAGTCGTCTGTGGTCGAAGAAGACGTCGCGGGCTTCTGTGCGCTTGGCTGGCCCTGCCAGATCGCCGAGGCCAGGGCGCCCACGTGCTGAGCCGAGAGGCCATCTCCGAGGAGGGCTGGGTTCCCCAGCGCCGGCGCGCGCCCGCCGTAGTCAGCTGGCAGCGTTTGCTCTGGCACCAGCCCCCGCATGACAGCCTCGACCTTCTCTGGCGCGACCATCCTCACCTTCTTCTGCGACCGCGGGTGGACAATGCCGGATCCGGCCGCGACCCTCCAGATCGTGCGAACTGTGGCGTTCACTCCGAGGACGATCACCTCTTGCAGCCTGTCCGGGTAGTGCCTGTCAGTCTCACTGACCAGCATGCGGAAGAACTCCGTGGACACGTTCGCCCACCCAGCACCTGCCGCGTCGATGACGCAGACGTACTGCTCCAGCGGGTTGGTCGCGGCTAGCTCCGGCCTCCTCTGCAGCAGGTGGACGATGATCGCGTCCATGTACGCCCGGAACTGCCGCTGCAGCACGTGAACGGGCGCCTGCGCGTCCACGTGCCTCCCCCGTATGAGCAGCACCGGGCGCCCCAGGCGGTCCTCGCAGGGCAGCAGGAAGGCCCCTCCGCCGGCGGCCTCCGGGCCCGGGGCGCGGAAGCCGCCCCAGGCCCTGCGGAAGGCGGCGTACGTGTTGGCCAGGTCCACAGCCCTGCGGAGGGGCAACGACAGGGGGGGGGGACTGGCACAGGGGGGAAGCCTCGAGCTGACATCGGCGACACATCGCCGATACATCTGCGACAGGCCCCCGGTAGTGACACCGCACGTTCCTGGGCGGGGTGGGCTATCGGGCCCCTACCGGCGATGAGTGGGCGTTTGTGGTCGAGGCGTCCCCACGTGAGCCTGTCCACCCAGATCCTTGCCCCTGACCTGGCCACTTCGAAGTCCGTGGCGACCAGGAGCCGCCCGACGAAGGGGTCGTCCAAGGGCTCCATCGCCGCGCCCTCGGTCGGGATGCCCGCGGCCGCCCGACGCAGCGCCTCCAAGGCCGCGGCGATCTCCCGGTGGCGCCCCGCGGCCGCCGCTGGAGGCGGCTCGGGGCCCTCCGGCCCCACCGCGTGGATCCTCTCGGCCGCACGCAGGGAGTGGCCCAGGGCAAGAGTGGCTGCGGGGTGCCCGGCTGGAGGGGGCCGCGGGTAGGCCAACTCCAAGCGCGCAGGCCACTCCTGCGCGCGGCCGATCCTCAGAGTGACCCCAGGCAAGAGCGGCCTTTGGGTGCGCGGTCAAGGAGGGCCCTCTGGGGACACCACCAGGCGCGCAAGCCGCTGCCATCGCCCCGCAGTCGGCGATCGGGGGACCCCCATTGGGCCCGCACCAGAGGTCCCTCCGGAGAATGGCCACTCCTACGCGTCCGAGTAGGGGATCGACGACCGAATGGATTTGCCCCGAAATGGGGGTGCTCGTCGAATCTACGGCAAGATGCGCAGAATGCCCCGTAGATCCACGAGCATCCGACGTCTCCTCCGCAACCTCGACGAGAAGATAAATCCTGGGGTGAATCCATTCTGTAGTCGACTCCCTGCAGCCCTCGGCGCGTCGCCGATCCTCGCCAGGGCGCCGACGAACAGGGCCGTGTCGCTGTACCGGGCGCGGAGCGGTGCGCCGCCGTGCGCCAGCGGCGCAGCGGCTCCGCCGCTCTCGGCCACGCGAGGCTCGGCGCGGCAGGCGGGGCCCGCCTCGGCCGCGGCCGGCGGCGCCCCGGTCTCCTTGGGCAGACCAGGGCGAGACGCCCCTAGCACCCTCCCCCTCCCCACTCCCCTGGACCTGGAGAGGGGGGGGTCGCGAGGCGTCGGAGCGTCCAGGATGGCCCAAGACGGCTCCAGGAGGGCGCCCGAGGTGTCGGCAGCGGCATGCTACAGAGCACTGTTTTACCTCGCGGCGCGGTAGAGGCAATCCGCAGGCGCGTCCGACGATGCTACGGAACACACGCAGGGCAAGCAAGCGCAGCGCAAGGACAGAAAAGGGGCTCGGCGCGACCAGGCGGCTGTCATCCTGCTCGGCGGCGGCTCCTCCTCCTCCTCCTCCTCCTCCTCCTCCTCCTCCTCCTCCTCCTCCTCCTCCTTCTCATCCTCCTTCTCCTCTTCCTCCTCCTCCTCATCCTCCTCCTCCTCATCATCAACATCATCATCATCCTCATCATCATCATCATCATCATCAGCATCAGCATCAGCATCATCATCATCATCATCATCATCATCATCATCATCATCATCATCATCATCATCATCAGCATCATCATCATCATCAGCAGCATCAGCATCAGCATCATCCTCACCCTCATCCTCATCCTCCCAAGGGAAAAGGGAAAAGAGGAGGGCGACGAGAGCGACGAGCGGAAAGGACTTCGAGTGCAGTACCTGAACCACCACAACCTCATCGGCCCTGGTTCGCAGAACCAGGAGCTTTCCAACAAGCAGCGCAACACCACAGACAGATGAGTGAGCACGGCATCGACAGGGAGACGCTAAGGGAGCACACGATGTTGGACAGCCCTCCACCTGCGCCAATCAACACGGGGGAGATCACGTTGGAGGACATCCAGTAGGCGGAGATGCTCGCAAACAACACGGGCACGATCCTGGAGACGATGATGAGCCTCACCAGGATGCTGGCGCAGTTGCTACAGCTCCAGCGCAAGAAGCTCAGAAGCGCCATGACAGTGATGCATACTCAAAGCATGATGAACACGGTGGCGGCCTACCTGTCGAGCGAGCTAACGAACAACCAGGAGGTCAGGCTCAACATGCTGGAAGCAGTGAGGGCGCAGACCGAGTGGACCGAGGAAATGGAGAGGCTACTACACAACTATACTGGTGGAGCGAATCCTCGAGCGACCTGGTGCGTGGGCCGTGGAAGACAACTCTGAGACAGGGGGGCGACTAGACGTTGCCAGGGCGAAGTGCGATACCTACAGCCAGCGTCGGCAGGGGCAGAAAGAATGTAATCAAGTACCTCTAGAGAGCCCCCTAGATCCTCCGCTGTTGGGCTCCCAGCGCCTCAAGAGATTCCCTTCGTTGTACCAACTCCAGCACGGCCAACTCCGACAAACAAAAACCGACTCCAGAATGGGAGATCGCCGACTCCAGACCATTCCCGACTCCAGAACAACACCAGCTCCAGCATAGATTTCAGGACAGAAACCACGCGAGGGATAGCCACATGGACCCAAGGACCGACGACGAAAGACACTGAGCATAAGGCCCCGAAGGCACCGACCCAGAAGGATGTGTACCGGGTTAGGCTCAAGCTGGACAGCTCTAGCGACAGGGCCCGACATCCGTTCCCACAGAGATGGCAGCGACGGCGCAGGACGAGGAGGCGTACAGTCAGGGCAAGATGGCGATCAACATAGCGAAGATGGAGCAGGATATGCAGAAGGCGTACGGCAAAGTGCAGGAGGCGAACAGCTACGTGATCGCCTATATGAAGAGGCTGGCGGCCTGCAAAGCGAGTACCTACAGCATGAAGAAGATCGACGACTACCAGAAGCGCATGCTCATTGAAGACGGGAAGCTATGCGTGGACAGGCAGCTTGAGCACTTGGAGAACATCAACACCAAGCTCGGGGAAGCCTTGGGCATGATGGAGCACGCGTCTCCGTTCGTGAACGGGCCGCTCCCGAACCGGAAGAACTACAAAGAGAAGCAGCAGGACGATAACAGCGGCGAAACCGAGACGAACATGAAGCACAAAGGGGGCTGCTCGACAGAAGGAGGTACCCCGACGATCACTGGACCGTGGTGGGACCCGCTCGACCCAAAGACATGGGCACCGTATGGATGGGAGATACTTGAAGGCATGGAGGAGGAGTGGATCAAGTTCGCGGAGAATGCGATGAGTGAGCACGGGCTCGAGAGTCGGGAGGCTCGGAGTGCTAACAAACCAGAATAATAGATCCCCTTCGGCTGGCAAGTAGACAAAGAATCAAAGTGGACAGACTATACAAAGCAACGCGTGGTGTCTATGAAGAAGATGGTGCGGAAAGAGACGGAGTTCGAGAAGGCAGCAAAGAGGGCGTCATCAGAAAAGGACGACATCGATGAGGAGAAGGAGCAGAAGCTTGACAGCACGGCGGAGACAAGAGACGACGAGAATGAGCAGCTTCTGCGCATCATGGTCGGGCAAAGTAGGATCACATCGATATCGTGCATCGCCCCAGAGAAGGTTGAGACCCAACGGCCGTGCGCAGCGGAGGCCCCGCAGTGAGGACCTGCACACGGTCGTAGAGAATCGGCTGGAGGGGGAGTCGTGTTCAGCGAGGGGATATGTGTATGTATTGGCGAGGGTGCAGGAGAAAAATAATGCAACCCCCTACCAAGACAGCAGGCCCGACCTATCACGACAGCCACGGCACGACTACCTACGAGGACAACAACATGTGTGCAGGGGCGGAGGAGGAGAACAATGTGGACGAGGTAGTCTCGGTTACGAAGATTCTGGAAGAAGGTTGCCACACTACGACAGCAACAGCAATTACCTACCAACTACCAGACAACAACTGAGTGTACAGCTACCAGAAGGAAGGGGCTCAGGGATAGTCCAGTCTGATTGCGACATCGGAGCATGAGGGAGATATCATGCTAGAAACTACCACGACACTCAGAAAAAGGAGCGAGCTCAATAGTCGTTATTTGTTTTGATCCCAGATTCCAGAGGCACCCTGGACTTCCTGAGTTCGGCGTGTCCCCCTTTCTTTTGTCGTCGTCGTCTCTCTCCCCCCCCGCTCCTCCCAATGGGCAGCGGGGCCTCCCTGAAGTTTCAAATCAACCCTATATTTAGCAAATTGCTTAAATTTAAGTTTATCCTATATTTAAGCCAAAATGCGTCAGCTTTTGGCTTAAATAATAAGCAACATGATAAGCAATGTTTTGTCCATTTCGTCTTCGAACCGTACTGGATTTAAGCTTATGTTTAAGCTTAAACTGTTGCTTAAGTTATATAGCGGGGGGCCGAGCGGTCTCACGCTGCTCCTGCGCGGGCGGATGACAGCTTCACAATGCGAGTCGCCGTTGTTTTTGTCATTGTTGTCGTCGCCGCCCCGCGCCCCGCCCGCCGCCCGCCCGCGACCCACCGCCTGCGACCCGCCCCCGCGACGCACCCGCGACTCGACCGCGACCTGCCGTGAGCACCAGCGACTCGCCCGCGACCTCCCCGCGACTTACCCGCGACCCGCACGATGCGACGCGCCGCGCGCGGCTGAAGCGGAGGGAGGAAGGCTGTGTTCAGTCAAGGTGACCAGCCATCTTCTTATAACTGCGAAGGGAAGTGGAAAGCAGGTCGAGGGAATGACATCAAATGCAATAGGCTGGATGTGCGGGGCTGGCGGCGGAGAGCTCTGGGCTTAGCTCGAACCCAAGAGTCTCCGACTCGACCCCGCCCTGGGCGCCAAGATGTTCTCATGACCCAAATATTGCCCCGAACATGCTTTTCGAAGAGATCCCGAGATGGTCCCATGACGACACAAAGACCCAACATATGACCCCATGCCGACCGCAAGGCCTCAAGGCAACCCCAATGCCATCCCAAGATCACACGCCACGACTCTAACAGACCCACAGACTACCCGAGCACGGCCCACAGACGATCCCACGACGATCCCTAGATGACCCGATGACCCCATAGATGGCCCCGAGGTCGTAAAGATGACCGCAAAACGACCGCGCGAAGACCCAGAGACAACGTCTCTTGTGTGCACGTTGCGGCGTATGTGTGCAAGCATGGTTTTTGTTCTAGAGCGCTCCTGTGGTGCAGTGGGCAGACGGGTAGCTCGAAAATCCTGCTAGGCAAGCCCCGTGCAGGAAACTATCCTAGTTCTGCATGCCTGCTTTTGCTGCTTCCCTTTTCTCCCCCGTCGCCCTGGCTTTCCCTCCCTGCGGCGAGAAGGAGGAGGAGGAGGAGGAGGAGGAGGAGGAGGAGGAGGAGGGGGAGGAGGAGGAGGAGGAGGGGGGGGGGAAGGAGGATAAGGAGGAGGAGGAGGAGGCAGAGGGTAGCGTCGTCGCTCCCGCCGTCGGTGTTCCCGTTGTCTCTTCCCCTGCCTTCGCCGCCTCCGCCGCTTCTGCCGCTGCCCCCGCTGCCAGGGCTGTAAGTGCATCGGCCGTTGTTGCCGCTGCTGCCGTTGCGTTCGCTCCTTTTGTTGCTTCTGCTGCTGGGCTTTCGCTCTTACGTTTTGTCCCCTCTCCCTCCCTCTCCTCTTGCGTTCCCCCCCTCTCCCCCTCCAGCCTCCCCCCCTCCCCTCCCTCCCCCTGCTGCTGCTGCGGGCCCCTTTCCCTCTGCCTTCCTCGCTCCCTCTGGTGCTGAGGTCGGTCCGTTTCCCTTCCTGTTCCTCCCCCCCCTCTCCTCCTTCCCCTCCTCCCGGGGTGGCGCAGGGCAGAGGCCGCGCCGCCCCCGCCATCCCCGTCATGGTACGCCTCCTCCAGACGAGCCTGGAGGCGGGGCCGCGGCCCGGCCAGGGACGGGCAGAGGGGGGAGAAAAATTGTGGGGGAGAGGAAAGGAGAGGAGAGGGGGGGACGGGGGGAGAGGAGGGGAAGGGGCAAACGAGCGAGAGAAGAGGGGGGAGGAAGGCAACGATGGGGGAGGCGAGGCGAGGCGAAACGAGGATGCGGAAAAGGAGCAACAATATTATAAACAGATGGAACTCGCAATTTTCGCGCGATCGTGTAAATGCACACGGTAACATTCGAAACACTTGCAGAACATTGGACG